TGGGTGTTGGTGCTGGGTCCTGTGATTGGAAATAGAACAAGATGGGTAGGGGCAAAATAATGGGACCGTAGCAGGGGAGCTGAAACGCGTTAGGGTTTTGCCTGCGTATTTGATAGCCACTGTAGCGCTGGTGCTGAATTCACAGTGGGGCGGGGACATTGACTGTGGGGTGGGCTTCTAGGCCCTAGGGTGGGAGCTGAAATGTTGCCAAGCTGGAGAAAGGAGGAAGATCCTGCGCCTTGTACCTGGAGAAGTTTCTGCCAGCAGCATTGAAGAAACACGCATCTGGAGCTGGAAGAAGAGAGCATGCAGTGAAATAAAGCTTGTGGGCCAAGAGCTGAAATCACTGGGGCTGGGAAGGGCTCTCCAGGGCTAGAGCTGAAATCACTGTGGGGCTGGGATAGGGACTGACAATGACATAGCCACTGTAGGATCTGTGTGCTGGAATCACTGTAGGCCTGTGATATGGATGTTGGGGCTGGGTCCTGTGATTGGAAATAGAACAAGATGGGTAGGGGCAAAATAATGGGACCATAACATGGGAGCTGAAATGCTGGCAGTGCCAAGGTTTTGCCTGCGTCTTTGATAGCCCTGTAGCGCTGCGGCTGAAATCACTGTGGGGCTGGAACATTGACTGTTGGGTGGGCTTCTAGGCCCTAGGGTGGGAGCTGAAATGTTGCCAAGCTGGAGACAGGAGGAAAAACCTGCGCCTTGTACCCGGAGAAGTTTCAGCCGGAAGCATTGAAGAAACATGCATCTGGTGCTGGAAGAAGAGCTTGCAGTGAAATAAAGCTTGTGGGCCAAGAGCTGAAATCACTGGGGCTGGGAAGGGCTCTCCAGGGCAACAGCTGAAAACACTGTGGGCTGGGATAGGGACTGATAATGGGATTGCCACTGTCGGATCTGTGTGCTGGAATCACTGTAGGCCTGTGATATGGATGTTGTGGCTGGGTCCTGTGACTAGCAATGGAACAAGATGGGTAGGGCCAAAAAAGGACACTGTAACAGGGGACCTGTGAAGCTGCCAATGCCGGGATTTTGCCTGCGTCTGTGATAGCCACTGTAGGGCTGGTGCTGAAATCAATGTGGGGCTGGGATAGGACTGATAATGGGATTGCCACTGTAGGATCTGTGTGCTGGAATCACTGTAGGCCTGTGATATGGATGTTGGGGCTGGGTCCTGTGATTGGAAATAGAACAAGATGGGTAGGGGCAAAATAATGGGACCATAACATGGGAGCTGAAATGCTGGCAGTGCCAAGGTTTTGCCTGCGTCTTTGATAGGCCCTGTAGCGCTGCGGCTGAAATCACTGTGGGGCTGGAACATTGACTGTTGGGTGGGCTTCTAGGCCCTAGGGTGGGAGCTGAAATGTTGCCAAGCTGGAGACAGGAGGAAGATCCTGCGCCTTGTACCTGGAGAAGTTTCTGCCAGCAGCATTGAAGAAACACGCATCTGGAGCTGGAAGAAGAGAGCATGCAGTGAAATAAAGCTTGTGGGCCAAGAGCTGAAATCACTGGGGCTGGGAAGGGCTCTCCAGGGCTAGAGCTGAAATCACTGTGGGGTGGGATAGGGACTGACAATGACATAGCCACTGTAGGATCTGTGTGCTGGAATCACTGTAGGCCTGTGATATGGATGTTGGGGCTGGGTCCTGTGACTGGAAATAGAACAAGATGGGTAGGGGCAAAATAATGGGACCGTAGCAGGGGAGCTGAAACGCGTTAGGGATTTTGCCTGCGTCTTTGATAACCGCTGTAGGGCTGGTGCTGAATTCACTGTGGTGCGGGGACATTGACTGTGGGGTGGGCTTCTAGGCCCAAGGGTGGGAGCTGAAATGTTGCCGAGCTGGAGACAGGAGGAAGACCCTGCGCCTTGTACCTGGAGAAGTTTCAGCCAGCAGCATTGAAGAAACATGCATCTGGTGCTGGAAGAAGAGCTTGCAGTGAAATAAAGCTTGTGGGCCAAGAGCTGAAATCACTGGGGCTGGGAAGGGCTCTCCAGGGCAACAGCTGAAAACACTGTGGGCTGGGATAGGGACTGACAATGGCATAGCCACTGTAGGATCTGTGTGCTGGAATCAATGTAGGCCTGTGATATGGATGTTGGGGCTGGGTCCTGTGATTGGAAATAGAACAAGATGGGTAGGGGCAAAATTATGGGACTGTAACACGGGAGCTGAAATGGGTTCGGCTTAGGGACTTTGCCTGCGTCTTTGATAGCCACTGTAGGACTGGTGCTGAAATCACTGTGGGGCTGGGATAGGGACTGATAATGGGATTGCCACTGTCGGATCTGTGTGCTGGAATCACTGTAGGCCTGTGATATGGATGTTGGGGCTGGGTCCTGTGACTGGAAATAGAACAAGATGGGCAGGGCCAAAATAATGGGACCGTAACATGGGAGCTGAAATGGCTGGCAGAGCCGGGATTTTGCCTGCGTCTGTGATAGCCACTGTGGAGTGGGAATTGCAGCCTGTCTACTGAGAAGACACCTAATCGGGCAGTCCAAGTCCCCGCAGAAGAGGAACCGCTGCGAGGGAAGAGGCGCTCAGAGCCCGCAGCGAGCTGTGCACACCCTCCGCACCGCCGCTCCCTGCTCCGCGCTGCCATCGCAGCTTTGCGAGCTGGCACCACACCCGGGCGAGCTGGTGGCTACACCCCTCCCCGCCCCCTGCCCCGAGTGCCGCTGGGGCGCTCCCATAGAGGCTCTGCGGGGGCCTTTTAGGCGGGACTAGGGCAATAGAGAGGGCCGGAGAAGGGGACGGGAGTCTGGCGAGCGGGGCCCAGGGCGATCGCGGACCCTGCGAGCACCCCTGGCTTTGCCTAACTGAGCACCTCGCGCTCCCATGGGCCGCAGCCTCAAAGCTTCCGCCAATCCTGGTGGATTGGTTCTAGGTCAGGGTTCTAGGTTATGGTTCTAGGTCAGGGTTCTAGGTTATGGTTGGATTGGTTCTAGGTCAGGGTTCTAGGTTATGGTTCTAGGTCAGGGTTCTAGGTTATGGTTCTAGGTTATGGTTCTAGGTCAGGGTTCTAGGTTATGGTTCTAGGTCAGGGCTCTAGATCATGGTTCTAGGTTATGGTTCTAGGTCAGGGTTCTAGGTCAGGGTTCTAGGTTATGGTTCTAGGTCAGGGTTCTAGGTCAGGGTTCTAGGTTATGGTTCTAGGTTATGGTTCTAGGTGGCCAATTACAGCCGCCCTTTGAATCCAGGCGCGGTCCCGCCAAGCTCAGCCCGCTCAGTCGTGGCCCGTTCCCGCTCCCCCGTTTTGCTGGGGTGCCGCTCCAGCCGCTGTTGCTTTGGGAGCCGGTGCAGCCGAGCTGCCGCAGCCCCGAGAGGTGCTGCTGGGTCCCAGGAAGCGTGGGCGGGGGCTCCCCGTTCAGGTCCCGGCCGTAACTTCGCCCAAAGAAACGGGGAGAAGGCGGGGAGCGGGCGGGATCACGGGAGCGGGGCCTGAGGGGACAGCGGGGGGTCGCGGAGGCGAGCGCGGCGGGAACGGGCGGGCTGGGATTGGCGGGCCCGGCGCTGCCTCGGGCTGTGATTGGCTGGGCTGGCCGGTGTGGGCTATAAATAGCGTGAGCTGGAGGGGTGCGGGCCTTAGTTCGGCGGCGAGCGGTGGAGAGGCGGCGGCGGCGGGCGGCGGCGTGAGCGGTCCAGGGAGCACCGGTGCGCAGGACAGGAGCACTGCGCTCACTGAACTGGGGAGCGCCGGTGAGGTCGGGCGCCATGCCCGTGTCTGCTGGGGCCAGAATCTGGGGGCCGGCGGTGTCCTGGGGCGGCGGGGCTGGTCGTGGCCAATTCTTTCTGCCACGTCCTGGGCTTTTCGGGCGGCCGGAGGCGGGTGCGGGGTCTGGAGTGGCACAGGGAGACGAGCTGTTGTTTCTGCGGGACAGAGAGGAGCTGTTTTGTAGTTTCTGGATTGAAGATAATGTTTAAAATATCGAGAATAAAGCTGGGTTTTTTTCGTTTTTATTATTTTAGTTTGATTTTGTTTAAAATAATAACGATTTTCTTTATTACATTGCTTTATTTTGCTCGTTTTATTAAAATAATAAAATTATTATTAATTATAATTACTTTTAACAAGATATTTTGTTATCCTTATATGTATTAGTTTAACGAAGTATTAATAAATAATGATTAAATATTATCTACTATTATTAAATACTATTTGTTAATCATTATCTAATTAAATATTTTTTATTTATTAGATTGTTATTATTTACTAATTATAATTTAATACTATTAAATATTACTTATCATTAATTATTTAATTAAATATTTATTATTTATTCGTTAGCTAATACTTATTAATTTTTATTTATTGATTATTAATTAAATATTAATTAAATATTATTTATTAATTATTAAGTAAATATTGATTAATTATTTATTAGCTCGTTATTATTTATTATTAAATTATTAATTCAAACTCTAGGTGATTTCCAGGAGCAAAAAAGAGGTGATAGTCAAGGTGCTTGTGAACTGGTGTTAAAAGACAAATTCTTCATTGTCAATCCAGCTACCATCCTTGTTCAGTTAAACTCTGCAACAGATCTCCCACAAAGGTAATTTTCTGCTTCTCTGGCTTAATTCTATTCATCTTTTAGAGAGTAATTAGCACTGCTTGGTGTTCTTTTAAGCCCAACTAATTGCACCTTGTTTTAGGAGAGAAAGTTAATGCCTCTCCATGTAGGTTAGTGCAGCAATTTATGATGAGAGCTGGGACCAGGCAGAGGTGTCGACCAGGGGCACCATTGCTGCTGCTGCTGCTGCCGCCGCCGCCACCAGAAGCATGGTGCTTGCTCCATTGCAAAGGTTTCCCAGTTTTAATTTGAGCTGTTTTCTGGATGCTGTGGCTAGCAGCAGTGAGCCCACATTGCCAGCGGCTGCCTCTGCTACTCAGCAATGGTCAGAGGGTTGCAGGACAGACTTGATTGCGCCTGGAAGTGTGTGGCAGCAGAAGGATGCCCACAGCACACCATGGTCACATGGTTATAGAGTCATAGGGGATGGTGACAGGGCCACCACCTGCCACACAGTCAGAGGGGCGCAGCCAGGACCAGCTCTAGTGCCACCAGGGAGGCAGAAGGGGCTGGATGTGGCTGTGAGGCAGTGGTGTGACCCTTACAGGGAAGTCCTCCTCTGGGATAGTCACTTTGTAGTGATATCTGTAGGTCAAGACTCCTGCTACAGTAGCATTTACCAAATTGTTCTTTGCTCAGTTGTGTCCTGCTGTTGCTGCTTCTGAAGGATCATGGAATCACACAATGGTTTGAGTTGGAAGTGACTTTAAAGCTCATCTCATTCCACCCTTGCCATGAGGAGGGACACCTTCACTAGACCAGGTTGCTTCGTCCTGGCCTTGAACACTTCTAGGGATGGAGCACTTCCACGATGGCTGTTTGACTTCCTTTCCCTGCAAT